TCAATCTGTCCATTTCTGCACAGTCCAGAATCTTTTTTAAAATCAGTTGCTCAGTGGGCAATTCCTCACTCTTCCAGTATTGAGCAAGCGCAATCCTCGCCACTGTGATTAAATGTAGCATCAAATACATTTCTTGTTTGCTAATATCTTCCAGTATAATGCCTAACAAGAAAATTTCAGGTTTAAAAGCTAAGGGTTTTTGTAGCATTTCCTCAAGCCATTTATGTATTTTAATCCAATACTTTTTCACATATTCACAGGTCCACCACATATGGTAAAAAGTACCCACATTATGTTTACATTTCCAACACCCGTTTGGCATATTTGGAAACAGCTAATCGACTTGGCAACAAATACCATCTGTAAAACATATAAATTTTCTTTATATGAAGTTGCTAAAGTTACCTTAATATTTCTCTCCCATAGCTTTTGCCACTTTTCTAATGCAATATTATATCCAAAATTTGGTGCCCTTGTTATCATAGTTTCCTTAACCGTTCCCCTTCCATTTTCCTGTCAAGTAAGAACTCATATACTCTTTTAATCATTTTCTCATCTGTTTTTAGCATCACTTGATCAAAGGCTGTTAGATCTTTATAAAACCCCCATATTTTACAATCTTTAGCATATCTTGATTGCATCTGCACCTTATATCACCAAGAGATATTGAGTCCCTGTTCTTGTATTTCTTGATCTAGTTTCAGACCTCCAACCTTATCCAAAATATCATCATATCTTATGATCCCTTCAAAATTCAATACATTTGGATACACAAAAGCTTCCATAGGTGAAAGCCATCTTGGTAGTTTATTATACAAGTTTGACTTTAACTTTTTCCACAATGACATTAATGATCTTCTGATAGAGTGACTTTAACAAGTCCCATGAAACTTAACCTCATACCACATATAAGCATGCCAACCCATTTGCAAATCATGACCTTCAAGGTACAAAATTCTCTTATTTCTCAAGGTTATCCATTCTTTTAGCCAAGTTAAAATAGACGCTTGATAGTACAACATCCAATCAGGAAGACCAAAACCCCCGTTCTTTTTGGTTTCCTAAAGCATTTTTAATGGTCCTTGATTTCTTTTTTCTCCAAATAAATCTCAAAATTTGAGAATTTAAATCCTCAGAGAATTTTTTTATCAATTTTTACGGGAATCATTTGGAACAAAAACAAAAATTTTGGTAATATATTCATTTTAATGAATGCTATTCTTCCCATCAAAGACAATTGTAAATTGGCCCATTTTTCCAGATCACCTTTAATATCCTTCAATAATTTATCATAATTGTTTTCTTTCAAAGTTGTTCATTTAGCTGTAAGATAGATTTCCAAGTATTTAACCTTTTTAACAATCTGCAAGTCCACTTGTTCTTGGAGTCTCTTTTTCTGATCTTGCATAAGATTTTTAACTAAAAGTTTCGTTTTTTCTTTACTTATTTTCATCCCCAGAACTTCACCATATTCTTCAATCCATTGTAAAAGTTTAGAGATTGTTACAAAGGGTTCCTCTGTTATGAAGACCAAATCATCTGCGAATGCTTGCAATTTATAATTTTCATTCCAAATTTTAGTACCTTTAATGTCCTCGTCATCCCTGACATTTCTATGCAAGACCTTTAAAGTCAGAATGAACAATAGGGGTGACAGTGGGCATCCTTGCTTTGTACCCTTTTGTATCTCTATAGCCAGGAACTAAAGAGCCTCTTGATGCAGGTGAAGGAGGAGAGTGCAAAAGTTGGCTTGAAACTCAACATTAAAAAAACTAAGATCATGGCATCCAGTCCTCTCACTTCCTGGCAAATAGATGGGGAAGAAATGGAGGTAGTGACAGATTTTATTTTCCTGGGCTCCAAGATCACCGCAGACAGGGACTGCAGCCAAGAAATTAAAAGATGCTTGCTCCTTGGGAGAAAAGCTATGGCAAATCTAGACAGCATACTAAAAAGCAGAGACACCCTGCCAACAAAAGTGCGTATAGTC